TACCTTTGGTAAATTGACGCCTATTTTCACTTGAGCAAGAAAATCACTTCTTTGACTCCGCCTAAATCATGCTTGCTTCGCTTGTCTGCTTTGTTCAATGAGAGAATTCATGCTGAAACTGTTTAGATCAAACAAACAAAATAAGAACAGTTGGTTGAACATGATCGGCCAGTAACATACAGATCGTGTGCGCGGAAAAAAGCCACCAATTCCGCCTGATAGAATTCCGAAACAAAGTACCCAATTAGAATGTACCATCTTTGAGGTGATCGTGATTGAACGGTTTTTCGTTTTTTAACGCTTTTAGAGGGCGTGGGCAGGACGCGTACTGGCTATACGATACACATTGCCTGTCACTCATTCTTCGGAAGAAAACCGTGGCGTTTCGCGCTTCATTTCGTTCGGCCATCCGCTGTCTTGAAGCTATATGAAGAGTTTGAAGAGTGACAGTTTCAAACTGTACACTGCTCGATACGAATCGAACTAATAACACTAACGTAATTTGATATTCTTTAACATTGAGTGATAGTGGAGGTGGAGTTAGATGCAAATTGTCCTGATTTTGAGATTTTTGTCGTGTCAAAACCAGAACGTCCGTTTTTTCGGCGTCAATTTCGCATCACTCCGAGGCATCATGGAACATTGAGTGTTTGGATAAAAATACGAAAGCTCTGAAGAATCTTCCAAATAAGATTGCTTAGTCCATAAGCCTTACAACTGTGTTCTTGTTCGGTTCGAAAACGGCACTTTCGCTGCTGATGAGAATTTAACTGCAGAACGGCCGGTACAATGGATGAAGCCCTGTTTCAACGTCTTATTAAGCTTGTAAATTCAGATTTTGTCCGCGCATTTAAGCAAGAACTCGGTCTTCAAGTCGAGCTGGGTCGTTTTGTTCGAGCAGTATAAACATCGAAGATCAAACCTGACCGCTAACTGACATGGCCAGTTTATCGAAACGTAGCGTATTATTAGCGGTTCTGCTATTAATACTTTAATACATATTTATTAGTTTGTGAAGAGAAGGAAGATCTCCCTGCCGTGAGGGCCCTACAGAAGAATGGACAACGTTTAATTGTCTGCCAGTCATTTTTCGAGAAAAAAATCGAAATGAATCGAAATCAAATGCCTTCGCCGTTGCCCCGATCAAGACAACCTGGCTCGTACTACCTACACTCCGATAATAATTATTTCGACGGGCGGGCTTAACTGTGCTTCGACTTTGATTAGCTTTTCATTACTTGAAATTTGTTTGTCTTTGTTTTAAGTGACTGATTTCCACATTTATAAATTGATTTTTTTGTTTCTTCCATTTTCAAAGATTCTTGAAGTACTTTGGTTCACTATTTAATAACAAGCATTTAATTAGAAACCCCAAATTTGACTGATCTGCTCATCTTCAATTCAAACTGACACGAAGACATGAATGGCGTTGTATGAGAACGCAAAGAGTTTATAGTGAAAGAACCTTAGAGAGAGCAGAAAATCTTCATCAGACTTAAATAAAAACCGGGTTGAAGAATTGCGATTGTACAATTACAATTCATTTAAAACGCACACATACAAACGGTGCTTTTAAAATCAACAAAGAGCAAATTATGAATGTACTTAACGAGTTGTTTCTTCGAAAAACCAAAGGATTAATAAATTGTTCGTTGCAAAGTTTAACTTTAAATGCAATTAAACCGCCTAAATTCTTATACCTGGCCAAAAATGAGAGCAATTTTATGGTAACCTGAACAGTGATTTATACTCATTGCGATTTTCTAGGTGGTTAGTGAATAGTGATTAAAACTGCATAGGTTTGATGCTCTGGTTTGTACTTTTCAAGTTTGAAACTTTTCAAAAAAAATATTAAATTTCTTCCAAAAATTGAATTGTATTCATAATGGAAAGATTAGTAACAGCTCGTATTACATAATGGAATTGATCATTCTAAATTCGTTATCAAACTATGGAACTGTCCCAGACTTGCAAGTCGAGCCTGAGCAGCAGCAAATTATTTTGATCTTTCGTCAAAACACCAGATAAAATGGATCGTCTGTTCGTATTTTGACGAAAGATTAAAAGAATTTTCTCGCTGCTCAGGATCGGCTCAGGCTCGACACAGGCTCGGCACAGGTTCGGCTGCTCAGGTACCATAAGAATCAATATTTAAGCACATTTTTTGGATAATTTGTGCAAGGAGCACACAAAGCGAGTCGATTAAAATCGAAAATGAATCCTGCCTAAAATGCCTTGTATTCTATTTCCTTTCAGAGCAGTAAAACCTTATTTAACGCTTCTCTCGCCGTTAACTCGAATTGTTTTGTCCGGAAAAAAATATTTCCATTATACCTTATT